ATGATGATGATGATGATGATGATGATGATGATGATGATGATGATGATGATGATTGTTATTATACTCTATCTTTCATCCGTCTCTCCCTCCCCCAGATTGGCGGCCACACATTCACCATCTTGTTAGACTGTGAGGACCAGTACCTTCACGACCGACTGGTCATACGAGGGGGCGGCGGCGAGGACCGCATCGACGACAACGTACCGGCCATCGAGAAAAAGCTGGCCTTCTTTGCCAGGAACACGCTGCCTTTGTTGAAAGCTTTGGACGACGAGCAGAAACTGATTGTGGTAGGTTCCAGTCGTGTTTTTTTCATTTTTTGAATGTATTTGTGTCACAACTCATTGGAATCAGGCGCTCGTCAATTTTGGGGCATTTAGAGGTATTGATATCTTCTGATAGCTGATTTATTTGCCTTGATTCCTATGAAATAACTATCCATCTATCTTGAACGTTACTCAAGATGTTTGCGATTGAAGGAAGTGAGGTCGCCTGGTTTCAGTGGTGAAATTAGCGAGAAAATGTCCGCCCAAGTTTGGTAACTCCAATAGCTAAAGAATCTTTGGAAACTGAAAAATGACACATTTTGTGCTTTTAATCAGTGTTTTTCAGTAAAATTCACATAGAAATATGTTTTTATATAGACATAAAAGAGGTTGAGCCAAAAAACATAAATTCAATAAAAATTTCTAAACTGGTGGGAAAATGCCTGTTTCTCTGATTTCTGTATTTTGACGAGCGCCTGATTTAACCACGCTGCCTCACATTTTGTGTTTTCAGTTTTTCTTTTCGTTAAAGTTATTCTATGTAAAACCTGTTGTTGCACCGGCCTACTTTTAAAAAGTTGATTTCAGTGATTCCGCAACTTCTGAGAGATGCTTGTATTATTGACAATGTACGTGTGTCTAAATTTGCTGCTGGGAAAATGTTTCATTTGTTTTGAGAATCTGAAATAGGCAGTTCACAAACCGTTTTTCCACATTTCACTTCATCTTGAACAATATTTGGCTGTCATAAAGACTCTTTCCCTGTAACAATAAGTGAAACGCATTACGTATGGTCTCACTTGGAACCTTTTATCACTAAAGTAGATGACCTTTATTGGTCGAATCATTTGATGTATCACCCACAGGGCCAGTGCTGCTGACTGAAGTTGTCTTTTGGCCATTCCCAAAGGGGAACATAAACCATGTTCTTATGCGCAGTAGAATTATAATTGTAAATGGGCTAATTCATCCATTTCATGTTCATTGTGCTTGAACTACAACAGGGAACTGCTGCTTTTTCTTTCCTCGTCCTTACTACCGTCATTTTCCTCTACTTCTTTTGTATGTTTGTCACACTCTTGTGACCCGCTATTTCCGGGGTGCCTTGATAGTCGAAGCAGACTTTGTGGTGTTGAAGCTAGAGAGGTGAACAGAGTAAGTCTGATTCCCTGTAAAGATTTCTCTGTTGACATCCACCCCTTGGTGTTCATTTGACCTTATGCAGTTGTGAGTGCCGAAAAAACTCTAAAAAAAAAAAAAAAAGAGATTTATTGTATGGTACAATCTATGTACTCCCACAATCCAAGAAAGTTACTCCTGATAAATCATTTTCATCCACACCCTGAGCTTTTAAAAAGTTTACAATGTGCCCTTTCATAAGAGCTCAAAAATTGCAAGTGGCGTAAAACTCGTACTAAAATACTGTAAAACTGGTACTAAAACTAAAAAAGCTAAAAAATTCTGTTTCCATTTTGATGGTGAATTGTTATTTCTCACTTTTGTTAAGGATTAAATTATTTGTTGTTCTGTACGTCTTTTGCACTCTCTCCCAATTTCTATTCCACTTATTTTTATTGAAAATAAGCAGAAACAGTTTTATGACCCAAAACTTAAAAAAAAAAATTCAAATGCTGAATTAGATGCAATAATAATATATTATGTGTATTTAGTACTAAGAAAAAAGAAGCTCTTTGTACATCACAGTAAAAAAAATTTGACCAACTTCGTTTTTGTTTTAGTAAGGTTTTACGGCACCCGCGCAACTGCATAAGGTCATAGGAGCGCATGACCAACTTCATAGGAAATGTTTGTTTTGAGAGTTTGCTCCGGCATACAAGATCTGTCCCAGACGTAAGTTTCCCTGCTACTCTCAGTTCTTCCCCAAGGTCAAAGGACTGAGTCTACGTGGGAAGAGATTTGACGTTGAGGAAGAAATTGTGCTGGAAACAAATGCTGTGTTTACAACTCTGACAGAAGCGGACATGGTCAATGTGTTTGACCGCTGGCTACATCAGATGAAAAAGTGCTTTATAGTTTTATTACAGTAAGGTTTTACGGTGCTCGCAACTGCATAAGGTCATATGAGCGCCAAGGGGTGGATGTCAACAGAGAAGTCCTTACAGGGAATCAGGCTTACTCTGCTCACCTCTCT